GATTTGGTCTTCTATCCATATCACCAATAATTTTTCCATATCGTGAATAGGACCTTTCTTTTCTTCGAAATTATAGTTCCCTTTATAGGTGTTGTTCCTTTCACTACATCACGAATACGTTCCTTGTCCTTCAGAATAGTGGATTTGGTCGAGTGCGAGAAACCTAGATCACGTGAGATTGTTGCTACAGTTTTTCCATTCTCATATTGCATTATTATCTTCATTTTCATCTTAAAAGTAATTGCCTGTCTCCTTTTCTTCTGAGCACCACCTGCACTCTCACTTGTACGCTTTCCAATCATTATAAAGTCAATTAAATACGATAATAACTTAAGTACACAGCGCGATCAGTATAGGATACGATAGCCAAACACCAACTAAGCGCTGGACTGAGTGTAACCACTCGGTGACCCAAGCCACGCTCTCGCCCGGGATGGAAACATTTCGGTATAGAAAATGCGCGCGTCATTTGAAAAAAATTTTGGTCACGACTGCGGCGGTCGTATGTGCGAACGGTTGTACGGTCAGAGCTGGTCGTAAGTGCAGATGGACGTAAGTTGAGCCAGTCGTAAGACGGGGACTACCTGTGTGTGTATATATATGTATATAGTACAGTAGTACCCCGCTTAACGCGGTCAATTGAACCCACAGGGTACCATGTTAAGTGAAAACCGCGTTAAGTGAACAACAGAACATATGGGATTAATTCCAATAGAGACTGGCCGGACCCCCAAACTCTACTTTTTCCGACACAATACCTATGTTCTAGTAAAAATAACATCTTAATTTTATGATGGTACATGCACACAATTAATACTTAAGAGAAATAGAGAAATACAGTCGCCAAGTTAATGTCCATTCAAATAATGGACCTCAACTCCCTCCCTCTTTCTCACACTACACCTCGCTGGGTTCTTCCCTCTGGAGAAATTTCTGGGAAACCACTAAATTTTAATAAATAATACCTCAAACTAAAGTTAGGATAATAGCACTGACATTGCTGGATTCCTTGTAAGAATAGGAATATTTTTGAATATAAAATGTCATATATTTTGCACAAAAGATAACATATTTACTCAGAGTAAACATTATATCTAAAATTTGTATGTCTAATGCAAAATGTATGATGTTTATATTCAAAATGATCATCAAATTGTAAGAATTCCAGCAATGTAAATTATATTCTGGCCGGGTAATTTGTATGAATTTTATGAGCTAAAACAAATATCTTCAGTTAATAAAAAAAAAAATATTCTTCACGACACACTCTGTCAATCAAAGTACCCCACCTTGCCTCCCCCCACTTCCAACCGCGCGGTCAGTCCCAACCCTCCCCCCCACCCCACACCAATCCTCCCTTCAAGAGATGTGTGAAAAAACTAAATTTTAACATTTAGTATTAAATAATACCTCAGATTAAAGTTAGGATAATATAATTGACATTGCTGGATTCCTTGTAAAACCAGGAATATTTTGAATATAAATGTCATATATTTTGCACAAAAGATAACATATTTACTCAGAGTAAACATTACATCTAAAATTTGTATGTCTAATGCAAAATCTATAATGTTTATATTCAAAATGATCATCAAATTATAAGAATTCCAGCAATGTAAATTATATTCTGACCGGGTAATTTGTATGAATTTTATGAGCTAAAACAAATATCTTCAGTTAATAAAAAAAAAAAAATATTCTTCACACGGTAACAGATGGTCGGTTGGTCCCTCCCTCCCCCCCACCAACCCTCCCTACCTGATGTGTGGGAAAACCAGAATATTTACCTTTTTAGTAATAAATAATACCTCAAACTAAAGTTAGGATAATATAATTGACATTGCTGGATTCCTTGTAAGACCAGGAATATTTTGAATACAAATGTCATATATTTTGCACAAAAAATAACATATTTACTCGGAGTAAACATTATATCTAAAATTTGTATGTCTAATGCAAAATCTATGATGTTTATATTCAAAATGATCATCATATTGTAAGAATTCCAGCAATGTAAATTATATTCTGGCCGGGTAATTTGTATTAATTTTATGAGCTAAAACAGGCAGGCAGGCAGGGGGTGTGGTGGGGGAATCTAAAAATAGCGTCTCGGCGTATATGTGGAAAAAAACCGTGTTAAGTGAAAGTTCAAGCTAGCTAAGCGAAACCGCGTTAGCGGTACTACTGTATGTGTATATGTGTGTGTATATATATATATATATATATATATATATATATATATATATATATATATATATATATATATATATATATATATATATATATATATATATATATATATATATATATATATATATATATATATATATATATATATATATATATATATATATATATATATATATATATATATATATACACACACACACACACAGACCCGACTTACGACTACGTGGACTTGACGTGGGACTTACGACCGCCTCAGATATAGATAAAAATAAAATAAAAATAAAATAATTTTTTTTTTTTTAAATGACATACGCATTTTCTATACCGAAACGTTTCCAGTTAATCTAGTCTCCATGTATAATTAGAAAATTATGGGGGCCCCATGTGCATTCAGTGACTACATTAAAGGTTAAGTGCTCAGTCACACTGTATCCATTCCTTATTATTTATTACTTTCACTGTACTGTATCCATTCATCATTATTCATTACTTTTACTGTACTGTATTTCATTGTAGAATTTTTATTAAAATTTTTTTTTTATCTATGTCGGACTTGCGACCTGGATTTGGGTCTAACCGTCGTAAGTCGGGGTCTAGGTATGATATATATATATATATATATAATATATATATATATATATATATATATATATATATATATATATATATCCACAATAGCGTGGATAAGATAAATCTTGATAAAATCACGGAAAATGGAAACAACGGAGTACCTTAAGCGGGAGTTGAATTGGGTCGGTTTTCGGATTTTCCGAATTCTCAGGCAGTACTTTTAAAATTAAAATTTGGGAGGAATAAAGAAGAGATGAACAGGTACATTTTGATAGTTTATTCATTAGCAAATATAGCATGCTTCATTTATCAAAACGAGCAGTTTTAATGAAAAAGCTGTGAATTCTAGAATTTTATTCTTTGCCTTTTGATATCATAAATTGTAGACTTTCAATGTTGTATTTTCCATTAGAACAGTATTGCTCACTGCGATACTAGTTTCTTAATTATTTCAAGTTTGTCACTCAATTTCAACGTGTTCTTCTCTTCACACAGCAGTTTATCTACTTTAGGAGCCATTATTATGGGCTTGTACAGTAATCTGTAAATGGAAAGAGTAAGACTCAAAATATTGTTCTATTCATACTGTGCTTGATATAATACATTCACGGATGTAATATTTTTGCTTAAAATGACGTCCGTATTACAGTGGAAAGTGGGATCAAATGTGGCGAAACAATGACTTTAAAGATGATGATTGTAACACGAATGGTTTAGTTAAAAACCTGTTGTATTGTCACAATGGGATGAATAATTTATCGATACCATATTTCTGAATATTTTCATTAAAATCCATCAAAATCATTTTCTTTGTCATCGTCTGCAGCACCAAACAGCTTCTTCTCCCAGTCTCTCCTTGAACAGGGCTAGAGGGTACGTGTTTTGAATAGTTTTCAGTTAAAAACTATTACATCACCCGTATATTTTACCTAAACTGCGCCTGAATGAATATATTCTCGGAAATACTGTAAATAGTAGTTTTGCTGAAGCGTGATGTATTTCAATGTAAAATAGGATAAAATACATGGCGGAAACAAAAGACTTTACCTAAGCTTCCGATGTTCTTGAGATGTTGCAGCGTTTTTAATAGTTTTCGGTTAAATTCTGTTATATTACAATGATATTCTATTCATACTGTGCTTGATATAATACATTCACGGAAGTAATATTTTTGTTGAAATGAAATGCATTACAGTGGAAAGTGGGATAAAATCGTGGCGAAAACAATGACTTAGCGCTTTCTTTGTTTCAAAGATATTTTAGCTTATCACTTTTCGAATGGTTTAGTTAAAAACTGTTGTATTACAATAATATTCCTCCTAATTGACTTGAATAAATACTTGAATGAATATACAATATTTTGTTGGAAACTACCCGCGTTTCAGTGTAAAGTGTTGTAATAATAAATGGTAAACAATTTGCCTTGGGCACTCGTGTTTCAGTTTATAGGGCGTAGAGCGTTTGTACTGAAGTTGTTGTTCCTTACCCTCAAACGTGGGTCGAACTATAAGCGAGGAATATCATAAATTAACGATTTCTTGGTCAAAAATCAGGGTCGACAGATAAGCGAGGGGGTTTATAGATGGTATATACGGTATGTTGTCACAGTTTGATTGCTCGTTTTAAAGTGGAACCCGTGGTAAGCTTGTTGTCGCTGTGCAGCTGTGGGGCTCACGCATGCGCTTTTATACACACAAAAGCCGCTAAAAAAAATAAATAATTAATAGTTTTCAAAAGTCAGTTCGGGTGGTCGGGATTTTGGTTTTCTATATATATATATATATATATATATATATATATATATATATATATATATATATATATATATACAATATATATATATATATATATATATATATATATATATATATATATATATATATATATATATATATATATATATATATATATATATATATATATATATATATATATATATATATATATACGTATATAATTTTTTTTTTTCGGTACAATTTATGGAAATAATTCCATACCGTACCATATCGTACTGTACCCTTCTGCCGCCCTTGATGGTAGGTTAGGAGTGTCTGAAAGAGTAAGATGCGACTTTGCTGTTTAGAGATCAATTATGGGAGTGGAATATTAAAGGAGATTAATCCTAGAATGTTGTACAGGAGGATCTATTTATCCAAAATATTAATACTCATTATTACTCATTATATTTTAAAGAATTTTATTAAAAAGAAATAGTGAATATACTTTTCTCATTTAAACAGTTTTGTGTCATCCTTTATTGACTTCCCAAAGCCAGTGATTGCCATTGTGAATGGACCAGCAGTGGGCGTTGGGGTTTCAGTACTGGGACTCATGGATGTAGTGTATGCTTCTGACAGGGTGAGTTTTGAGTACTTTACCATACTTCAACATTTGAAGTACATAACTTTCCCATATGAATGTCATTCAACCGATTCATAATACTGTACTTGGTGTCTTCGTATAAAGTTGCTTGCCGTAGCTGTTCACTTTCAGCCCATGCCAGGGAAGGCTACTGTAGTGCCAAGCTCTGATACCAAGCAGAAAAAATGCCCCCAAAGAATTAAACTTAGACAATAATTACAAAATCATTGTAGCCTGTCTTAATCCTGTGTTGAGACAGCTCCCCTTTCTGACATACTTTGGCATGAATCATCAGCTAGATCATCAACATATTTTAAGCAACTTTCCTTGCGACAAGATAAATGCCGGCAGTATCTGCTTTAATTAATTATTTGTACCACCTAGAACATTATAGCTCTGGCCTATACATTACCCCAAAAGTGCACTGAGATAGGACTGTATCATTTCACTCCCCAAAACCTGGAACTATGCCTAGAAAAGGCTCTCCTTGTGATTTGGTGGCTCAACTGAATACTGTATAAGGGATTACACCTGGTCCCAAAATAGCTAAGTCCAAATAATAGCTGGGTGAGGTATATAAAGTACAGTACAGTACATGATGATTGTGTTGTTATGGTACTATGGTTTTAATTCTTCCTAATTTGAACAATGAAACTTGCTTCCAAACTCCCTTTTAAAGGAAATGGTTCAACAAGAAAGATAGCAAGTTCATTTCATTAGTTTATTCAGTCAACCTATGTTTATGGTCTCCCAAGGACTAAAGCTGAAGGTTTTGGTTTGCAACATTATTAAAGGTCTCTGTTAAAGTCCATCAGGCTATAAATGCCAGTGAATGATTCCAGTAGATGATAGATGATTGGATAGTGACAATGAGGAGCAAATGGGGTCCCTCAAGATGTACAGTACTTGAGTTTCTATACTTTACAAATATAACTAATACTATACCTCTGATTTTGGCAGGACTCCTAAACTGCTTGAAGCAAAAATTAGGACATGTTATTAAAGTAGGAGATAAGAAATTACTTGAAAAATTATTATTTATAACTGATTTGTCCTTTTTAGCATTCCTGTACGAAGTTTGTAGAAGGGCTTGTGGCATATCTTGTGTTATTTCCATCATCAGTATTAAAAATATAAAGTTTTTTGTCTGAATGCTCATGCAGCTGTGCTTTTATGTAGGTTGATATCAGTTGTATACTTTATCTTCAAGATCATGTTAGAATTGTTGTTGAAAAAGTAATGCAATATTGATCCAGTTGTTCCTTTGCAGGCAACCTTCCATACACCATTTGTGGCATTAGGGCAGTGCCCAGAGTGCTGCTCAACTTATACCTTTCCCCGAATAATGGGTCCAGGGAAGGCGGCAGAGATGATCCTGTTTGGTAAAAAGGTTAAAACTGAAGCATATTTTGTGAAATTTTCAAATAACCTTTTTCTGCGTTAATGCTTGATTTTACTTTATCCAGAGTGAACTTATAAAACCCATCTTATTTTCAGTCATTCCCACGCCTTTCACAACTTTTTAATTTAGGAATACAGGTATCCTCCAATTTACAATTATCTGATACAGTATATGGTAATCTGCATTAACGTTAGTTTGGTTTAAACACTTTCTCGCAATTTACATTATGCAAATTCCACATTAACAATAGCTCACTGATGCAGAATATAAATACTGGGGAAGCACATCTCTCCCTTCACTTGTCAAATCCAAGATGGCCACTATGCCCAGAAACTGCTTTTCCATTCTCTGTGCATTTCACCTACCAGCATGCCTCCTGACAGCCACCCTGCATATCTAATTTTAGAGCTTTGTTCCAATGTGATTGCTCCTGCCCTCGTTCATGTAACCTCAAAGCCAAGGCTTTGAGGAAGACTGTCTATGGAGACAAAATTAGAGATTATTAAGCAGCAGGCTATTTGTATTAATGTGGCTAATGATGTTTAATTTTAGAATACATTTAATTAGTGTAGGATAGTGTTTTCTGTCTGTGTCGGACAGGCCAGGAATGTATCCCATTAAAACCCACGTTAAAAGGCTCCCGATTTACATTAGGGTTTCCAGGAACGCAACCTTATCGTAAGTCAGGGGATACCTGTACAAATTTGGTGAGCATTTTAGGGATGGCTATTTTCTTAACAATTCATGTCACCTCATATCTTTTGTGATCAGCAAGAAAAAGAACTGATAAAAAGTAGGAAAAATAAAGAATGAAGATATCATATTTCATGTAAAGAAATAAGAGTAGAGATAATAATTTGCTCATTAATTACATGTATGTTTTCTACAACACACCTGGAGAGTATACAGGAAGCCCCTAACTTATGAACAAGTTATGTTCTTGGACCCTCTACGTAAGTGAGAAGAGTTAATTCCATAAGTTAAGTTGGTTAAAACACTATTCTGCCCATAAAAAAGAACATTAATATTCCATATACAGTCTCTCCTCGACTTACGACAGGGTTCCGTCCCGACCAGTGACGGACTGGCCCATCGGGATACTGGGAAATTTCCCGGTGGGCCCCAAAGTGATGGTTCATCACTTTGGAAATAACGTAAAACTAAAAAAAAGAGGTATGAGGTTTATGAGATATTAACTCAATCTGCCCTAATACGACCGAATGCGACATTACTAGGTCCGTACCACTGTGCCCGAATGCGACCTGAAACTACGCCATGTGTTTACAATCGCCTAGTGATTCAAATCTCGCCGAACGAGATTTCCGGCGGAAATGACCTTCTCAGCGAGATTTCTGGTTTATTTTTACCGAAAACTGGATGTTTATATCTACTTTCGTTTACATTCTATCTTAATTTGAACAAAAGCTGTTTTCCAACTTGAATTTCAAGCCAAGCCATTAACACATTTCAATTTCTTCGATTGCTAATTGATAATTTCAATTTTGACTATGAAAACGAATCAGATGTAGATCTACAGCGTGTGGAAGTGTTTTTCAGTGATATCAGTGATATCAGTGAAGTGGGGACTGCAGAAGATGTGGATTCACATACAGATTCGGATATAGATCTAGAATGGTCAGATCAGCCCGCTTTTATCCTATTTCTTCAGTTTTTTATTTTTTTAAGCAATTCATCAATAAATATAGTATGAATATTATATATTGTTTTAAAGCTCAATTATTTCTCTTTATTTTGGTGTCAGTTTCATTATGATTGATAAATATTTGCATGCAAGAATACGATTTTAATTAATGCATGTCATAAGTAAATATGAGTTACATCCCTTTGCTTAGGGTTGGGGATTAAACTTGGGATCTGGCCTTAGGGTGGAATGAGTTAAGCATTATAAGAAATGTTCCTTCTATAATTCGGACATAATTTCTGCTAGCGTAATTTCAAATTTCCCGGGTCGCCGCACCGACCTGCCACTACTGTATTGGTGGCGCTGGTTGCAACATCAACTGTTGCCGGGTCCTGGAACTTGTAAACACAGGCAAGCCATTCCTATTAGTTTTTCTGCATTTTTTAGCCCCAGCCATGTGTCGTTGCACTTCTGGAAAGTCCTGTAGGAAGAGCCTGCTTTGCTGTTTCCGTATCCTATTTAAGTATTCTTTGCACGCATCTGCATACTCAAATTTGTTCTTAGCTTACAAATATCTTTTGACCCTTTCGTTCACACAAGTCAGTTGCGAACGCGTATTCGGTAAGTTGAAAATTGTTAAAACTCGATTACGCTCTTCGCTATCAAATGAGCTACTTGAAACTTTAATGTTCATGAGCATCGAAAAAGATTTACTTTCTGAAGTTTCTGTGGATGATATTATTCCTTTTCTTGTGAAAAAATCGACACAGTTTTCTAGATTGCTTGCTGTCTAGGTGATTTGCGCTTTGTAAATTAGTACTGAATTTTGACTGTTTTAGTGATATGTGCACACATTAAAAAATGCACAAGTTCCAATTTTAATTATACTTTGAAAACAATTTCAAATTATGCTTTGTAAATTACTCGGATTGGTTGTTCTATGATTGAGATTTTCATTTTTATTACAAGATTATTAAAATTTTCTAGAATTTGTATTATGCACGCATTAACATAAATAAATACAATAATATTGAATAAATGTAACATTTTATTTGCTTAAAACCTTTACTTTTATTTGATTCCTTTGACTACGTTTTGGGATTAAGTGGGCCCTTTTACAAGTTTTCCCGGTAGAAATTTTTGACCCAGTCCGCCACTGGTCCCGATGACCAGGTCGTAAGTCGAAAAGGTAAAAATAATACATAGAAATTCTAAAATGGGTGTCTCCTTTTCTTCTTAGCACCACGAGAACTCTCACTTTTACGCTTGCCAGCCATTTTAAAGGGAATTACAAACGAAAATTTTGTCAGTACACAGCGCGATCACTAACGTCGGGACTCAAAAATACGTAATGTGAAAAATATTTTATACGACCATGGCCGTCGTATGTACGGGTTGTTGTAAGTCGAGGAGAGACTATATAGTAAATAATGTTAGAAAATCCTAAAAATTTTGGACCCGGTAAGTCCAGACCTTTTCTGGGTAAAAATATTTGTCCAAACCCTTAAATATTTGTTGTTTTAAATTCCCGCTGCTCGTGGTCATTTGAAATTGCTGCCAGTCAGCAATCCCTTGGCCTCTTTCCTCCTCTCAGACTTGTGAGTGAGCAATTTATTCCCCTCTCTTAGAATGGACTTGCCCCTAATGCTGCACTGTGATTGGTTAGCTACAAGTTCAACACACTTTAAGTCACTGAAAAATGGTAAGATTTTAGGTAAAATAATTCAAACAATGATGATGTTATTCCTTCTGGGAAGGGAGCAAAAGGCACACACACATACACACACACCTGGCACAGTCATTACTTTTTACTTTTACCCTCTTTGCCACAAATCGGCTCTTTAGCCATTTGGGCAGTCCGTCATGTCTCTGTTATGCATTGTTGGCAACTACTGGGCATGTACTGGCTCCTGAATGCACCTCTATCTGCACCAGTGTTGGTCAAGTCTGGTCTTGAAAGAGCTCAAACTCTGTGCCGTCACAACACTCCCAAGAGTTTAAATTTTTCTATTATTTTGAAGTCAAATTACAAATTTATATAATTTTGTTTTTAATATTTAATATTTTATATTATTAATGATGAAGCATACACCATAAGAGGCTGATCATACAAGAATGTAATGAATAAATAAAAACAAATGCTGAATGAGCAACAGCCTGTCTCCCCCCCCCTCCATCATGTGCACATGAAGTGTCATCTATTGTTACCGTAATCAATAAAGTCAGTTCTAATCGAGTTAAAAACACTTTTTTCCAAATACCTGTACTATAAATTATTGGGTCTTATAAGGTCGTTGAGATATCTTGACGGTCCGTCCCTCGTAACGATCTTCAAGAGTGAAGTGCTTCCCCATCTGGAGTAGTGTCACCCCGTCTGGTCCTCAAGATATACTAGGGACTGTTGGTTGGTTGAAAATGTTCAAAGGAGGGCTACCAGACTGGTGCCTGCACTTCGGCATCTCAACTACCATGAGAGATTGGAGCGTCTGAATTTGCTTAGCTTATACTACAGACGGGCAAGGGGCGACCTAATTGAGGTGTAAAAGTATCTCAAGGGGCACTACTCAGTTGAGTGTCCTTACTTGGAGCTGGCAGACGCTCGCCCCACAAGGGGTCACAGCTCAAGTCCAGAAAACTGTGAGGGCTAACTTTTTCGGAGTGAGAGTTGTGAACTCTTGGAACAATCTGTCAGAAAGTGTTGTGACGGCACCGAGTGTGAGTTCTTTCAAGACCAGACTTGACCAACACTGGAGCAGGTTCAGGTACATTCAGGAACCGGTGCATGCCCAGTACCTGCCAACAGTGCATAACAGAGAGCCAATACATGACTAGTACTTGCCAACAGTGCATGACAGAGACGTGACCGATCGCCCAAGCGGCTAACGAGCCGATCAGTGGTGAAGAGGATAAAAGTAAAAAGTAAAACGATCCTGAAAGCTTATCCGAATGTTTGGTTAAATAAATGTATTTTGAAACAAAATAATCTGTATTATATAGGCATGTGAGGCACATACATTTTTGGTTACAAGGGAGGACAAGCGACCCTTGTGGGTGAGGGTGGAATGACTGCATCAACCCTCCCACCCACCTTCTCTCTCCCTCCATCACACACCCCACTACACCCTACCTTTACCACTCTTTCCACCTCCTATACTCTCCATAATTGTTTAATTAAATAAGAACATGAATTAGAGATTAGTTATGAGAAATTATGGAAAGAAAAGTAGAAAGAAAGAAAATAGAAAATACAGTAGAGATAAGAAAGAAACATTGTTTGTGAGAAAAAGTAAATTTTTCCTCATTCTTTTATGTTATCCTAACTTTAGTTTGAGGTATTATTTATTACTATACCTTAAAATCTAGTGGTTTTCCCCCAAAAATTTCTCAAGAGAGGGAAGAGCCAGCGAGTGTAGTGTGAGAAGAGGGGGAGGGAGTTGAGTCCATTATTTGAATGGACATTAACTTGGCGACTGTATTTCTCTATTTCTCTTAAGTATTAATTGTGTGCATGTACCATCATAAAATTAAGATGTTATTTTCACTAGAACATAGGTATTGTGTCGGAAAAAGTGGAGTGTAAAGGCCTGGGACTTAGGGATAGAAATCCCTTACCAGGCTAATCAGGATCTTAATAAAGGAAAGTCAAGGACCATGGTTTTCCGAGGAATAACAAACAACCGTTTGAGATTGGCATCTCTTTACTCTAAAAATATAACACAAAACTCTGACACCACTCAACAAACATCAAATAATTACGGGAGTCAAACAATTAAGGCAGTCAACAGATAATGGGGTCAAACAATTAATGGAAGCAAACAATTAAAGGAATCAAACAAATAATGGGAGTCAGCAATTAATGGATTCAAACAATTAAATGGAGTCAACAATTGATAGAATCAAACAATAAAGGGGAGTCAGCAATTAATGGAATCAAACAATTATAGAATCAAACTGTTACGAGTTGGGGATTTAGAATATAGTTAACAGTCTACCCAGATCCCAACAGGTAACAATAATAAAAAAAAAACAAAGACAATCGGACTATAAAAGGGTAGACAAAGGATGCGAGTTTTCGTTGTATATAATAGAGTACCATAAATCCCTAAACAAAATATTCAGCTTATAAATTACCCTTAACCAAACTTAACCTAAACATTAACAGTATATACATATTAATAAACATAAAACAATCTTGAAGCAAGTGGACGTGGGGGAGTTAATACAAAATATAAGTACTTAAGTGAGGAGCTGAGATGGCTGACGAGTAAGGCTGAGTATTGTAGAAGACGGTAGGTAGTCACTGCACGTAGGTTTAGAGGATAGATGATCCTGTGGTCACTTCCCAGAGCCAAGTCTCTTTCCTCGAATTGGAGCTGACAAAGAAGACTTTGAGGAGGTGACGCAACAACCAGGATAGGGAGAAGGGAAACCTCGGAGTGGTAACTAAGACGAGTCATACTCGTGTCTCGTCCCTAGATGGCGTTGCTCGTGGTGCTGGGTAGGTAGATCAGGACAATAGATGGCGTGGTTCGTAGTGCTGGGTGGAGGGGTTCGTAACACAAACCATGAACAAATATTTCCTACGGCAGTGGCCCTGGGGGAAGGTTCTGGAACACGGTGATGCACACTCAGGGTAGGGAAGCGCCCATTTAACTCCACACTCGAGCGACGTCTTGTAATGGCAGGAGAACACCGGGGCACAGACAGAATGTGATGAACTGACGGTCGTGGTATGCGGTAGTGGTAGATGACCAGAGAGTTGGCAGTTGATAGGTGAAGGTCTGGGAACACAGCCCACGAGTCCAGGACCTATGATGAGATCACAGCCAGAATTTGACGGACAGCAGGGTAGCTAGATACTGACGGTATGGCGGCTGGGTTGAATCTGCCGGTGATGCAGACAGTCGCTGCCATTCCCACCTCTGTCCAACCACCCCAAGTGTCGTCTGCACCAGCAAACGAGCGAGTTAGCAGCGGTAACCAGCCGGAGGATCGTTTCCGCCCTTACATGGAGTCACAAGACCATGCGGCCAGACACTAATACATTGGTACTCGCAAATCATAAGGCAATGACAACAAATAAGCTTACTTTATAGATACCAGCATCAATAGTATGTTTTGTATTCATTCTAACATTCACTACAAGTACAACATTAAAATTTCAAATTTCAAAACTTAGAATATATTATTCATCAAAAATTTCAAATATAAATACAGTGCAATATTGGAACCGTCCAGTGAGATTAGTGGAGTGAGATGCTGACCCCAAATAAAGAATGTTCTGCTGAGCACGGCTGACAAGATGTATGGTTAGATGAAGGGCCAAGCCAGGCATTCATAATAAGGTGGTGGGAAGATGAAGTAAACAGATGATAAAGGAGAAAAGATGATTGTAAAAGGCCTGGAAGATATTCAGTAACAGGGAAGAGTACCCAGAGGCCAAGCAAAGGTCCAGAAGAGGTATACAAGGGTGAGAAGCTTGCACAAGACACATTCAAGGATATGTTGAATAGTGCAGACACGGGAAGAGAGATTTTCAGAATAGTCAGACAAATAGTGGATAGAAACAAGGATGTTGTTGGTGAACAGTGTGTTTGAGAAATGAACATGGCAATGTGGTTGATAATGAGGAAATCAAGGATGCCTGGAGATGACAATAGACACACATTCTACCACCACACACATACACTTGTCACTCACCTATATCCTTCTGAAGAATTTATAGACAATTGTTTTCCAGATAACTGCAGGAGAAGCCTACCAGGCAGGTTTGGTAACAGATGTGATTCCTGAGGCCTGCATTGATCAAGTTTGGTCAAGAATTTATAAATGGGCCCAGCTACCTCCCAATACTTTGGTCAATGCCAAAGGGATGTTAAGAGCTCATAAAAAGGATTTTCTTCATAAGGTTGGTCTTAATTTTTTTTATACAGTATAGTCTGCATTTACGCGGTCAATTGAACCCGTGGAGGTCCGTGTATTACGAGAAACGCGTTAATGAAATAACAGAACATATGGGATTAATTGAAATAGAGACTGGGCCGACCCCCAAACTCCACTTTTTCCGACACAATACGTACGTTGTAGTAAAACTAGTATCTTAATTTTATGATGGTATGCGCACACACATAATATAGAAGATAAATATCAATAAGAGAATAATATACTGCACCAGGTAAAAGAAAAATCAAGGTTTAACACTTACGTGGATGGGGACTGGTTCCGAGGCAGAGGGCAGATTTGTGGCCCTCAGGAGAATCACTATCACTATCCACCACAGATATCAGGGCCTCCCTGACAAACCCCTCAAAGTCACCATCACTGTCACTATCACTGACTTGGGCTGGCTGTGGTGGGTTGCGGGCGAAAAAGTCGGTGATGTTATGCTGACGGCTAGTGTTGATGTGTTCGTGATACATCTTGATGTACTGCTCCATACTTTGGTTCTAGATGGTTATTGAAAACTTCATATCGATGATTGACAGGGTCTTTGGAAAGGATGAGCTTGAGTTTCTCTGCAAACTCGATGGCATCCTTTATATCACCATGTGTTAACTTCTGTTCTTGTGCTGCCGCACCACCTGCCTCCTCACTGAAGTCATCGTCTTCCAACATCTCGTCGGCAGTCACCTCAGGATCCCTGATCACCTCCATGATGTTGTCGTTGGTGGTCTCTGAGAAGCCTGCAGCTGTAACACTCTGTGCAGCTTCTCTTGCATGGTCCACTGCCACTGCAACAGACTGAACCTCACCAGTCACAGGTTGCCTCTGCCTCCCACCTGGAATACCTTGCAGCACATGCCGCCACGTGTGACGAATTGTTGCCACAGACAGCTGCCCCCATGCCTCCACCAAGAAATCAACAGCTTTCTTGACGTTGAATTTCTTCCAAAACTGTTTGACGCAAACTTCATGCTCCGCCAACTCCTCTTCTTGATCCTCGTCCTCTCTCTCACTATCAGTGTCACTCAGGTTCCGCAATTCATCCTTGGTGTTGGTCAAGTCATTAAGGAGCCGAAACTTCTTTGCGGAGAAAGCAGCCTTTACATTACATATCAACTCTTGATCCATGGGCTGGATTAATGACGTAGTGTTAGGGGAAAGGAAGACTACTTTTACGTTGGTGTGACGATCCAACAGTAGGGGCGAGTGTCCTGGTGAGTTGTCAAGGAGCAACAAAATGTTGAATGGAACATTGTTGCTCAGAATTTCTTCACATCGGGAATGAAACAGTCGTCAAACCAGGAGAGGGACAGACCAGTGAACATCCACTCCTTACGTGCGGTTAGCCAGTGGACATTTAGCTTGGTCATGTCCATGTTCTTGTAGGCGTGCGGCTTGCGGGCTGTGTGGATCACCGATAACTTGAGCTTACAGGTACCCAAGGCATTGGTGGTAAACAGGATGGTGATGCGCTCCTTCTGCAATTTCCGGCCCCGACACTTGCTGGCAGACTTGACAACGAAGGTCTTGGAAGGTAACTTTTTCCAAAACAGACCGGATTCATCCATGTTGAACACCTGGTCGTCGGTGTACTGTCCTTCCCCTATAACTTCTCGTAAGAATGGAGGAAAATCACTCGCTGCAACACGGTCAGCACTAGCACCTTCACCAACAATGTTAATGTTTGTAATCTTGTTACGTCTTTTAAACCCTTGCAGCCACCCAGAGGAAGCAGTGAAGGGTTTGGGCTCTGCAATTCCCATCTTGCGCACCACTGCTACGTACAGTTCACGGGCGTACTCCTGCATTGCCCACTTGTCCACCACCATGTTACGTCTTGTCTGACGACTCAAGTAGCTCACCAGCAAATTCTCACCATTGAAGCACCTGCAGATTTTGTAATGCTCGTGTGTTCTTTTATCTTGGCTTCATCCTTCTTGATCGTCCGGATCGTAGATTCGTTCACGCCATGCTGGCACGCCAAATCAACTTGTCTCGTTCCTTTCTCCAAATCCTGCACGATTTTGTATTTAACTTCATAGCTTAAAGCTCGTCATATCTTCTTAGGCTTGGGGCGGCTTGTACCAGGTAGTTCAAGGTTTTTCTGGGGTGGTGGGGGTCCAGCGGAAGCCATTGTTGAACAGATTAGCAGGTACAAGAGAGAATAATATACGAGGTGACTGAGAACAATCCGACTGGCCCGGCAGGGTCAGTAGCTTCTCCCCACCCGTGGCTGGCCACGTCATATTACATTAAACCAATCACAGCTAGCGGGGGAGGGAGGTAAGGATGTGTGGCCCAATCACAGTCCGATACGTCATATGACGTCAGCGATAACGCATCAGCGACATACTGCGCACCCATACCCGCGCCGCTTCCCGCGTATGGTAAAGCATGGACTGCGAGAATACAAAATGGCGTGGCGCGTTTGGACCCCTCCAGCCGCTCGTAAATGATGAAATTTTCCGCGTAATTCAAACATTTCATTCTGGGAAGGCACCGCGTAAATGGCCAAACGCGTAAACAAAATCCGCGTAAATCGAGACTATACTGTACTGTATTTAGGAAAATGGTTGGGTTTTTTTTTGTGTGTGTGTAATGAAATTTGAAAATACATGGTAGACAATACAATAAACACACCATATCACAAGTTTGTAGTACTGTACAGGTATACCCCAAAAACTGATGTCCCATTAACCGCCAATTCACATGACCGACGATTACACATAGGGGAAATTCCCCGCAAGTTTCATTGATACCTGGAGATCCAACAATCAGGGGAGGAGTGGCAGAGCTGTTTTGAATTTGGCAGGCAGTGGTGTTGTGCAAATTCTTGCCACGAGAGGGCTCTGCGCACTGCCTCCAACCCATTCTCTCTTCTCTGCACTTGTTTACACTTAACACGTGTCTCCGACTTTGTGTGTTACACAATCATGCCTAAATGCCTCAGTAATAGTTCCTCTTGTGCTGCCCCTCTTAGAGGCAGTTTGATGTGATGTGAAAAGGCATAATAAGAATGGTGATGGACTAACAAAGATTGGTAGAAACTTGATTATTTTGTTATTTCCGACTTCATGTGTTACGCAATCATGTCTAAGCACCCTTAGGAGGGGCAGCTTGTTGTGATGTAAAAAGGCATAATAAGAGTGGTAATGGACCAGCAAAGATTGGTAGACTTGAATTTGCCACCCTAGACTGTCTTTACCATCCTCAACACAGGTAAATTTATTTAATGTTTATTATGCTTGCTTTACATGTCTGCTTTGATTTCTTGCTTGACAGTGTGCAGTCAGAGATATATCAAAGATTGATGGGAATTTGGGGGAGTGGCCAGTCTCTAACCTTCTGAAATTTGTTATACTATATTCTTATGGGATTAATTGCTTCAATAAACCATTGATTCACCAACCAATGACTTTTCACAGTCCCTCTATGCGTTGGTTATCAGGGTATACCTGTACAGGTGCTTCTCTACTTAACATTCAACTTACAAACTTTCAGAGATACAAACATCATCACTGAGGGGGGTAACCTGCCAGAACAGGTGTTTAATGTGGATGAGACTGGATTATTTTGAAGAAAATTCCAGATGGAACCAAACATTACCTAAGAGGAGAAGAGTGAGCCAGGTTTTAAGGCTGTATTAAAGGGTATAGCTGTACTAAATATCCATAATCTTTTCATTTTTTACAATATGTTTGGTATCTACAGGAGTAAAGTTGGACTTACAAAATCGCCTCAGGAACGTAACTCGTTCGTAAGTAGAGAAGCACCTGTACAGTCAGTTCTGCTATAACGCAATAGTTGTGTTCTTGTCAAACATCGTGTTATAGAAATTCGCGTAATAGAAATAACAGGGCTTATGGAGAAAATAGGGTTAGGTGCAGATTACTACTCGAAATCGAAAACAAATTTAGTAGTTAGCCTAACACAAAGGATAGCACAGTCTAAATAAATGTTGCATTCATATCTAATAATGAAATTATAAAGTAAATGTAACACTTTACCTTGAAAAAATATGAATATAACTTGATGAGGGAGAAGGGTGATTTTGAGGAAGATAACATCGAGCTTCTCTTCAAGGGTTATAGCCTTTCTTTTACGATCATCACTGGGAATGCGATCACCAGAACGCTTCTTGGAGATATTCTTCTTTACCATATTCACAGTTAATGCCACAAAATTGGAGAAATAGTAAGCAAAAATCGCGTTACAGCAAACAAGCGTTCGCGTTATACAAATATCGTTCCTCTATTCATAAATCGTGTTAGAGCCAATTCGCGTTGTCAAAACATGCGTTATAGCAGAACTCACTGTATTTGCAAATTGATAAATGTATTCATGTAGTATATCAATTATCTGGCAAGGTTGCCACTGGAAATAAACTGGATACAGTCATTCCTCGACTTATGACGGGGTTAGGGACCGACGACCAGGTCGTAAGTCGAAAATGCGAAAATAATACAGTTTTACCCCGCTTAACGCGCTTTCACTTAACGAGTTTTCGCATATACGCGGTGCCTTGCCAAAGCTGAACTTTCACTTAACGCGGCATTTTTCATCATATACGGGGTGAGTGTCCGGCTCGAGAGCTATTTTTAGATTCGCACCACCCCCCACCCGCCACCCTGCCTGACTGCCTGTTTTAGCTCATAAAATTCATACAAATTACCCAGCCAGAATATAATTTACATTGCTGGAATTCTTATAATTTGGTGATCATTTTGAATATAAACAACATATATTTTGCATTAAACATACAATTTTTAGATAAAAATTGTTCTCTAGGTAATTATGTTATCTTTTGTCCAAAATATATGACATTTATATTCAAAATATTCCTGGTCTTACAAGGAATCCAGCAATGTCAATTATATTATCCTAACTTTAGTTTGAGGTATTATTTATTAAAATTTAGTGGTTATCCCACACATCTCCTTGGGACGGTTGGTGGGGGGTGGGGGG